ACTGGGATACTACTGATCTATGTTGATGATATCTTCATAGCAGGCCCTTGTCCAGATGATATTCAAACTGCTAAAAGGCAATTACAGAAGGGGTTTAAGATTAAAGATCTTGGAAATCTTATGTACTTCTTAGGACTGGAGATAGCAAGAACAGATAAAGGGATATCTTTGTCTCAAAGGAAGTTCTGTCTTGAGATGCTGGCAAATGCTGATTTTCTGGAGTGCAAGCCACCCAAGACCCCTATTAGCATGAAAACAGCTTTGTCTGCAAGTGATGGTGTTCTGTTAGAAGATAGAACCCATTTTAGACATCTAATGGGGCAATTACAGTATCTTATTTCAACAAGACCAGACATCTGCTTTGTTGTATAGCAGCTCTGTCAATTCCAGGATTGCCCTACTACAGTGCATTTAAAAGCTTTAAACAGGATACTAAGGCATAAAAGGGAGTACAGGACAAGATTTGTGATTTTCATCCTCATCCTCATTACAATTGAGTGGTTACAGTGACTCAGATTGGGAAACATGCCCTGATTCCAGAAAGTCAGCGACTCGTTATTGTACTTTCTTGGGAAGCTCATTAGTGACATGGAAGAGTAAAATGCATGGAATAGTGTCAATTGTCGATTGTCATGTGAAGTCGATTGTCATGTGATACGGGAAAGGATAAAGTCAGGCATCATCAAACTCACACATCTCAATACTGAATATCAATTGGCAAACTTGTTCATTAAGGGTTTGTTAGTTGATCGTTTCAAGTTATTGTTGTCCAAGATGGGAGTACATGACATGTACTCGCCAGCATAAAGGGTCGTATGAAGTAGAGTAATGGATCTAAGAATGAAGAAACTAAAGTGGAAGTGCTCTGCTGATGAAGTTGGTAAGCTGCAGATGGAGAAGAGCGAAGAAATGGTTTGAGCTTCCTTTCATTCAATCCATATAGCAAAAGGATTCCAAGTCGGCGTCGTTTTACTAAGTGGTAACAAACTCCACAAGCAAGACGATGTCGTATAGAAAGTCTCAGTTTAAACTATCTGATTAACGTACATTAGACAGGTGTTTGGTTTAGATTGGTTAGTTTAAGTTTCTGCTGTAGATTAGTCGTTAATATACAGTTAATTCTCTTTGTTTGTATATAATGAGAAGCTCACTGAAGGAAGAGGCAAGATGCCAAATTCCCACAATCTCATCGTCTTCTCCAAACCCTAGTGTCATTGGCTGCTAGGTTAACACTTTTCTCATTGCTAGAAAAGGATTAGAGATGTCGAGATGCTGAAAGGCCACAATTCGCTACACAATATGACTTGTTACCCTTAGTACTAAACCGAAAGTGCAAGATGGAGAAGGAAGGACTATCGCATCAAATTTTAGTGTGAGGCGACCAAGAGGAGGAGACCAGGATGAAGGTGACACGAGGATGTAGTTCAACTTGTACTTGATAAGCATTTTATTGATATACCTTCAATGTCATGCGTATTATATTTTCAAATTTCGCTCGTCAATCTAGTGTTATAAGTCTCAAATGGCAGATGCCCACTCAAGAAAATACAATTTGTTCAGAAGCAGAATTTAGGCAGGGAAACAAGAGTTTGTAGCCGTAATATCTAACATATCATGTCAAAGATTAAGAACATGCATGGAACATAATTCATGAACGTCATGCTTCCTAACCATTTAATATCAACCTCCCTAATGATTATTTTCTTCATAAATACTTCATGGATGAACTAAAAATAAATAAACTAATTGTACAAGGTACAAGATCAAGAATGCTACCCAAATTCACGAAACCAGTCTATAATCTATTGGCTATAGTTATAGTGTTGGTTAGAAGTACAAATATAAATGAAGTGTGATACCAACTAACAAGCTACAACTTAATTCATCCAACCAAACCCACAGTATCTCTTGTGTCCCAAAACAGCACACGGTGGCCATATAACAATCAACGACAACATCATGTGTAGCCTATAAATATATACACACTTAAGTACGATGTACTTACCATATTGATACTCAAAACCATTAATTATTAATTAGTGTCGTGTCCCAAACTTTCTAGGGTTGGGTTTGAAAAATTCGTGAGGGTAGTTAAGGCTGCTATAGATCTATCCCTTTCACTTCCATTCCACTTTATATATAAGCATTTATTTAATTGTAAAAGCATATCTCTATATGTGTAGTGAGTTTGGTGGCGAGTGCCGACTACCTAACCAGACCGGACAACTTAACTATAGACCATGATTTCCACGTTCAGCTGTTCTTCCAACTAATACCAGCCATTGTCAGGGTTAGGTGGTCACTAATTAATTAACGAAGATCAATCCATCTTTGCATGCATTGCACGAACTAATTATCAATGTCAAGTGCGGAAAGCCATCGCATTCCCAAGTTTATGGACATATAGCTAGCTAGGGAAAATTATATCTCGATCAAAATGTTGTTGGGGATGAAAGAAAGAAGAAAAGAATTTGATTGTATCATTTCCTTATCGATCTAGGGAAAAGTATATGTTGATCAAAAAGAAGAACGAGATGAGTTAATGAAGATTGAAAAATCATATCGTACGTTGTACCGGAAAATTCTATGGGAGATTATTTTATGTTAAAATCGTGGTTTAATGATGATTCAACCATTTAATACCGTTAAATACCATCTACCGGTTTTAATTACTCGAAACCCCCGAACATTAAGATTTTTCAATCCTTGGAAAGAAGCAATTTATTTGATGGAAAATAACTAGTAAGTAGTTCTAATTCTTCCCCAGAAAACCATGTGTATGGGCCATGTCGGGAAGCCCAAATGCTACATGAAAATGCCATCCGCTCATAACTCCTACTGGTTCTAGCTCGGCCCAATTACAAGCTGGACCCTTAACTTCTGGTATGCCTAGGGAAATCCAGAAACCAAATATATAGTCAAAGCCCGTTTTATTCTTTTATTTTTCCTTTGAATATGGTAACACATAATGGGATGCTAACCATCTAATAGGTTAGCACCGTAATAACTCCTCCCATTTCCATTGTTTTATATTTCCGTTAATCCAAGAGTGATTTGAAAGGAGGGATTAGTGTTTCTTATGGAGTTATGGTTTAGTGTTTCTGTTGATTTTAACGTCGCCGACGATATACTATCTCTCGCCAAAAGCCCTTTCCGTTCACGATTATCAAATAAAAAATGAAAAATAAAACTATTTTTACATAATCAGAATTCAAACGGTCTATTGAAAGATCCCACAAAATCCGGCTGCTATCACGAATAAAAAAATTAAAAAATTAACATTTTGTTTCTTATATTCCTAATATACCCTTTCTTTATTTGTAGCCATTAGATTTGAAATAGTGATGGACGGCTTAGATGTTAGTTAGGATGGTGCTAACCCCCTATGAAGTTAGCACCCTATCTTCTCCCGGTGAATCATACATCAACAAAGCACAAAGAGATTGTGAGTACTACGAAGTTAGACGTGTTCAGTGTGGAGTACAACAATGATGAGTGACCATATGGGAAGTTACCTTAAATTGCATCCCCAAGGCAAAACCCGTGATGGTCTCAGCCCAAAGCGGACATTATCTTCGTCGGAAAATGGTTCGGGATGTTACAAATATGATGGCTCGTTCATTTTTTATTTCGTTTTTTTATAGTTGTAACAACATAAAACAAATTAAAATGTAAACGAAGCATACGTTTTCTGAGAAACAAATCTAGAAGAAAACTTATTTTGCTAAGAATTTTGGTGAGTTCTAAAAATAAAAACCTATTTAGTTACTTCATACTGTGTTTTCCGATACTTGATTACCATAATTTTTTTCATTGAGTATCATACAACTATAGTCATGATTATAATTTTTTCCTTCAAAAGAAAAGTCATAATTATAATTTTTAATTTGAATCACATTATTTTTAAACTAATAATAAATACAATCCAAGTACATAATCTTATATGATATCAAATAAGTACTATTACGATATCAAATATTAAATAACTCCAGTTTTAAAGTCATCTCATAACTTATTTGCTATTCCATCACGTCGTACATCCATTGCTCGTGTTTGGCTTGAACTGAGATTAATGATTATACATTTCTCTTTCGTGTCCTCCTTGGCCACTCCTTGCAGTCCATAGGCATTCTCTTCCATGCAATAATGTTGGTACTCTTCAAATAGGGCGGCGTCACCATATTGATCCAAATGAAGTTGTGTATTACACAACATGCAATAACAATGTTTACATGTTACTTGAGAGCAAAAGGAGGCATATGTTTTAAAATTGGGAATCTAACCTTCAAAAACTCAAAGCAACACTCGATAAATATTGCGTAGGGATGAATGATAATACTTGAAAAGTTGCTTGAGAGTTTTTTGGTCCACCTCCACGATTGGTATTCTGAAAATGACGAGCTTCTTTTTTCTTATATGGTGCTAAAAACCTAGGGATGTTTGCATATCGAGAATCAACAACATAATACACACCAAACCAAACCGATTCATGGACCGAACCATATCAAACCAAATATAATGTGGTCTGATCTTTGGTCCCATGAATTCAATGTTCAAGAAAGCGCTAGGCATTGCGTAAACGGTGCCTAGGCAAAGCAAAAACAACAATTTTAGTAGAAATAACAATTTGATTACACGTTTTTTATTTAGTTCAATTTCAAATGATTAATAACTTAGCTAACCTTCAACAATAATCAAAATATGGCATGATCTAGAATTGCAATTCCAAATCGAGGAATGAATGAAGGATGCGTTGAATATAGGACAGCTGGAGATGGCATACTTTTGGGATGATTAGCTACATTTTTTTTTTGGTAGAAAGCTACAATTTTTTTAGAATCGTTGATATGCTAGTGCACCTCACTATGATTAATCATGCCTCACACCGATTTATCGTTACTAGTTTTGTCTAGGTGTCTCTTAGACATTATGAACTCCTAACGTAACTATTTGTTTAGAACCTAGACGAAACATTTTGTCAATGCCTAGTGCCCAAGTGTACGCGAAGTTACGATTTCTTGAACCCTGCATTAATCGAGTTTATATATGAACCGGACCAAACCAAACCGAATACAATTCGTTAGTATTAAGGAGTCATTCACTATTAGACTGTCTTTTCATGAGTTTGGTCTGACTCGGACTGTTTCACACACCCCTACCCCTGCGCAACTTACTGATGATTATCAAAAACAAAAATAGAAGAAATTTTTATCTACTGATATAGTAAACCCATCAAATCAGCGGTTTAAAGGGAAAAGCTGATAAAACACACCTGATAACTTATATGCAACAAAAACATATTTGAACAAGATGAGACAAGTGTATGTGTGTCTCGAAGATTAGCACCATTCCCTGCTCATGTAGTACCCAAGGCAAACATGATATCCTACCAAAACTCAGCTCAAGCTCATTTCCAGCAGACAGAAAGAGCTGTTGAGACTTGAGAGAGCTGAAGGAAGATCTGGGATGCAGCAAAATGAAGTTAGCTTTCAACATTCTCTGTTTGCTTCACAGTATTAAGCTCAAGATCGAAGCTCATCTTCAAATGCCAGTTGGGTTGCCATGAGAACTTCAAATGGAGGACACAGACCATTCACTTTTCGAGAGTGCATACACGAGTAACACTGCAAGCAGCAAATAAAGGTAGTTCTATCTTCTGCTAGGGTACGAAGGAGGGAAAAGGTTCTTCGAGATTGAGGCCTCGAGTTTACATCAGAAATCATTGTCAGCCATCCCTAGCAGAAATGAGCCAGGCTCGCTGGATCCAAGCATTGGCATGTACTCCGATCCTCTAACATGGACACTGAAGCAAGCTGCGGCACACATCAAAATAGTATACCTTGTAAGGGGACTTACTATTCTAGTTAAATGAACAATATATCAGCAAGTGAAATAGCTCAAAAATATCAGACCCAGAAACAGGTCTCTAGTATAAGTTGTTGAACATTTGATTCAGACCAGTACACACATCTTAGTAAGATATATGAATGTGATTAGACACCACAGAAACGTTATTGCGGAAAATGTTCAGAAACACATTAATTACCATTCTCGATCTTGATCACACTTTGAAGCATGGTGTCCATCTTCTGTTTCATGTCCGAACTATCATCCATATGTGGGACGATCAGGGTCAAGTCCCTGTAGATTTCACGCACAAAGCGACATATCTTCTCAGCATAATCAAGCTCGCCATCAGATATACGACCAATTGCCATCCGCATCAACTCACCCGTCAAATCTGCAAGCTGTCACAAGCGCCATTTTGGACGCAAATCAAATTCCAGAGAGTTGCCATTTCCAAACACGCAAGCAGCAAGCTCTATCAATTAGCATGAACTATCAATATGCAGAACGCTATACCCCTAAGAGATAATCAAGAACGTTGATTTGCAAAGGCTCATGGGCCGGATCATTCAGTGGCAAGAGAGTGGCATTCATCTCATCCAAATTAAGCAGAGTCCCATTTCTGCAAAAGTTACAGAAAGTAGCTGCTTCAACGTATTCTTGAATCTGCAAAAAAGAGCTAACAAATCAGCTATTGACTACTGACTAGAACCTACACATCTCAGCCATTGCACCGAGAAAGTAACCAAGCCAAACTCGAATGCTTACACCGGGAGAATAAGCTCGCCTTAGCTTCCAGAAATCAGTGCCTTGCAACTCTTTCACCAATTTGGAAACGTACTGTTGAGTTACATTAGCTAAATCCTTCTGGGCCTTGTCCAGAACTTCATCCCTGTTGTGCTTGCTCATTCTGTGAACTTGGAATATAACCTTTTTGCTGTTCATTGTTATGTCCCGGCTTGCCTTCACTATTCTTTCCCTTTTCTCATTCTAACACAGACCGAATCAAAGCAATACTGAATTCATAACTAGGGTTTTAATAAAATGGGGGAAAACCCCTTCAGTCCAAGCATTCAATAGAGAAGGGAAGATGGGAACTTTACAAGGTTATTGAGATATTCGGCGTATTTGGCAAATGGGTCTTTGATGGAAGACTCCGATGCCGTCATCGAGCTCATCGCTCTCGCCCTCTTCGCTGGGTTCCCTGCAACTGAAACGACAGGAGTTTGAGCTTATTTTCACAGTGAGAACTCGAAACAAACAATCGCGAAAGGTAGAGGCGAGCCCTTCAGTTTCCCAATTCGAAATAAAATAATAGACAAAGATGGGTACTTAACGTTGAGGCATAATGTGAGCTCTAGGTTTAGAAGCCATGAGAGCGATCTTCTGCAACGTGTTGTTGTAAGCGCTAAACATCAAAATCCTGTGGGTTTCTCTGCGACCTCGGCGCTATAAAAACTGTTGAATTTTGGCGACTGGCCCATTTAACTTTTGAAGTTAAAAAGCATTACCACAGACTTGATGTCGCGGGTTCGAACATGGGTATGGCTATAGTTTTACAACAACGCAACAGCGCGGCCGCCATGGAAATTTTGGGAAAACGTAGGGAGCAAGCAGAGAAAGCCAAAAAGACCCAATGTGCGCCAGCTGAATTACTTGGCAAGTGCTTCTTATTAGTGCCATTACGCCTAACAATTGCTGGAAAAAAATACCCAACACTTAGACAGGCATAGTATCGTCTATCGTGATTCGGTACACCTCCCAATTCCCAGAAAACATGGTGACGCTTTTGGTGGCGACGACCAGAGATCCGGCGTCGATCAACCCGGCAAACGCCTTGTTAGCCATGCCGAATCCCTCCAATTGGCAGCCGGGCCCTTCGTTGAGCGACGAAATTCAGAGCTTCAGGTTCGGCGACGTCAGGCTGCTCCGTCACGGCAAAAGCATCGTGGAGGAAGATGATCTAGACCTCCGGTGGCAGGACGCCACTGGCGAGGCCGTCGACGAGGTCATCTTCTTCAGCAAACACACCGCCGTCTCCAATCGCCCCGCCCTCACCATTCACCCAATTGGTAGTTTTATTTTATAAAGATCAATTTTTCTCCTTACGACTGAACAAAAATAGACCAATTATGAATTGAATTCCTTCTTTTGATTGTATGTAGGGGTGCCGCATTTGGCAGAAGGTGATGTTCCGCTGCAGGGCGGGAAGCCGGGGTGGGCGGCGCCGCCTGATCCGAGGATGGGACCTTGGCTGAGACTGCTGAAGAGAATCGCCGAGTCTCGTAATCTGCTGCCTGAATTCGAGGTGATTTGAATGAGAGACTGCTTCCTTTTTGTTTTCTTTTCTACATTCTGTGGGTGAATTGCGTTTGAAGAGTTCGATTCCTTCTTTGTTGATTTAGGTTACTTTGGAAGCTACCCATCATGGGCCAATAACCAATAAGCCAACCATGTTCGTTGAAATTGGTAAAAGCTCTTTTCTTCTCCATCGCCATTTTGATTCTGCAATTTGTCTCTTTGCTTACCAAGAACGTTTGTAAACTGTAGGCAGTACAGAAGAGTACTGGAAGAGACAGGATGCTGCAGAAGCCATTGCTCAAGTTAGTTACTTTCCTCTGCAATTCTCAATGTCAATTATCAATGTAGTACCATCTCACTAGTGAGCAAGTTACTGGCTTTCTTTCGGAAGTATGTTACCTGCTGATGGTTCTTGTTGTTATTTGTGCTGCTTCTTAAGTTAGTTTTTGAAGGGCTCGGACTTGGATCAGGCGCTGCAGTAGGAACCTGGAACATGTAAAACCGTTCTTTGGTCTAATAAATGATTGAACACCATTGATATCTACTGTTGTAGTAGTTGTTTACCCCCCTGTGGGATTATTTTTTGCATTATTCAGTGACCACAACAAGAACAAAAGGGTACTTCTTGGAGTAGGTGGCGGACATTATGCACCTCGACATATGGACATAGTTATGTAAGCGTCCGGTCCTGCAGGAGTTTAACTGGTTCTTCTTGTTTGTGTAGACACCTCTGAATGATGATTCGCTCCTTGATTTCCTAGAAACACTGCTTGTTTTTTTTGGTGTGGAAATCTCCAGGAAAGGCGATGTCTGGGTGGCTCACCTGCTCTCCGGGTATGCTCTACCCATGGAAGATCCAAACCAAAACAAAGGAGGAGGAGCAAGCACGAAAGACATTGGAGGCACATGGAAACAGTCTATTAAAGCTGCATTTGAAGCTACTAGGTTAGCTTTCCCAGGTGGCGAAATTCTGGCCCATCTTGATCACAAGTAAGCCAGTCTTCTCTGCGCTCTTAATAAAACCTTAATGGAAAAGCCCAAAGGGGTTTCTGAAAACTACAGGGAGACCAGCCCTAAGGTCTTGTTGAAGACTATTATTGCAAGTATCTACTAAAACATCAACTGAGTCAAATCGAATTGTTGCAGGAGTTTCAAGAGTTGGCAGAAGAATGCCATAACGGCATTCCTAGGAGAGCTGGACGTAAAAGTAGGGAAACCTAATGATTTTTGTTGATGCTGGACATGGTGAACAGAACATGCTACACATTGAGCTCCGGTGATGTAGAAGGCAAATACCGTTGCATTCGATAGCCATCCAAAACCTATCTTTGTGTTTATTACTCTGAATGGTGATTTAAGAGTCAGTTGAATTTGTTTCATTTGTACGATGGAGCACATATTAGGTCATCTTCTGTTGTCTCTGTGTGAACAGAATTAGGAATGTTGTATGCAGTCATCTGTTTTTGGTCTCATGCTCAATAGTCAAATTTACAAATATTTTGTATGCTGAAATCAACCCGCATAGCTAAGGTGTTGAGCTTACCGTCTCGGCACTGATATAGTATTCTTCTCGCATGAGAGCCTAGCATTGCATCCTTTAGAAAGGAGCTTTCGTGAAATCAATGAGATTCCAAAATACTTTACACGGAGGCTCACAATCCTATATCCAATGAAAGAGATTATAAGTAACCGTTGCGTTGATAATAGAAGGGTATGTTTTTTTTCTTCTAATTTTGCCTATATTTGGTCAAGATTGGCTTAGATTGGACAACACAATCACCGGGAGATAATATGATGGAAGGAACAAGTGATGGGATTCTCATGTCAACTTTAGTTCTGATTTGGTTTGGTTAAGCGGACGTAAATTAAATTTGGGCCGGGCCTTATCCAGTCGTACAACTATTTGAGCCTGTTTCGGTTGCTTTCAGATCCAGCTACTCTAGAAAGTTACCGTTGAAACCAGATCGGGTTCTCCGCGCTTCTCAACGGCTCGAATGAGTCAGAAAACCAGTTCAAAATTTCGCATATAAGGAACAGAGTATCAGACAATCCGCTCCCTTCCTTTCCCTCTCTCTACCCGTTCAAGAAACGAAATCCTTCTCTTTGCACTTTCTTTAGCCGTCGGAGCAGAAGCTGGTAGCCTGAGAAATGCGACCTCAAGATCATCCGTCGCCGTTGCCGGGAAAGAAATTCGCTCCTTCGCCCAAAGGTCAGGGAACTTCGTCAATCTTTCTTTCCTCCTCCATTCTCGCTTTCTTCTTTTCCAAGATTTTCTGTTCCTGTTTGGCTCTCAAGAAAATTTCCCCAATATTGAATCTGCTCTTAACGCTGTGGTTGATTGTCTTCAATAGATGCCGACGAGAACTCGTTGATGTCGCCGCCGACGTTTAAGCATTTCATGTCCCCAGCAGCTTCAAAGGTCAATTTGCGGAAGAGAATTTTAGGGGAACGAAGTGAATCTCCAGTCCGCTCCTTCAAAGGTCAGTAGCTAGAGAATTTTCTGTTCCGTTCAAATCTGCTCTGTGAAACTCGAATTTTCCACTATGTTGAATTTCTTGCTTCCGAGATCTCAAATCTTCTTCTTTGGGTGTAATTTGACTAATGTAATTCAGATGGGGATGAGAACTTGATGAAAAATCAAGAAAAGGGTCGCCCAGATGCGGTGAATCTCAAGAAGCCCCAATTCGTGTCGCCGATGCTGAAATCTACTGCTTCAAAGGTCAATTCTTCAATTGCCGTTCCTTCTTCTCCAACACTGCTCAACTTGATGAAGGCCAACGAGGAAATCGGGGAAGAAACAGACGATTGGTCGCCATTTTCTTACGACCCAGTGAGGAATAATCTGGTCCCGAGGCCTCAATTTCTGCGCTACAGGCCAAACCGGCTTTTTTTGTTGGAGCCTTCGGCCAACGAAGAAACTGATTCAGAGATTGAAGATGAGGATATTGGGAGTGATGATGAAGTCGATGAGGAGAACTCTGATGACACGGAGATGGCAGGAAGTTCAATTTTCAGAAGGGTTCTTCAATTCCTGCTTGTTCTGGCCGTTTTGGTACTCTCCACTGTTTACATTACTTCAATGAATGACAACCCAGTTGAGATTGATGGGATCCCTAACTTTGCTGCTGTCCACCGTCATGATCAAGAGATTAAGAGCTACTCAGTTGCATTTGTGTCAAGATTAGAGGTTAACGAAAGCTGGTTGTCGTTGGATGAGGATGGAACACCATCACAGTTGAAGATAGTCAAGCCTCAAATTCCTCTTGATGAAGGTGACCAAGTGAAGCAGGTGATGGACAAAGAGATTGCAGAAGGTGAAGAAGTAGCTCTGGAGGAGGAGGGTCAAGAAGATGATGAAGAAGGAGAGTTGCTGTCATTTCAGCAACCACTTTTTCTTCCACTGCAGCCTGCTGCTGAAGCAGCTACAACGGTTCAAGTAGCAAAAAGCTTAATTGATGGAACAGAAGGTGAAGAAGTAGCCCTGGAGGAGGAGGGTCAAGAAGATGAAGAGGAAGAAGAAGGAGAGTTGCTGTCATTTCAGCAACCACTTTTTCTTCCAGTGCAGCCTGCTGCTGAAGCAGCAGCTACCACGGTTCAAGAAGCAGAAAGCTTAATTGATGCTTCAAAGGGAAGACTTGCTGATGAAATGGTTCACTACAGGGAAATTCAAGAGCCATATGATGATGGCGTGCTTAAAAATGGGAAGCCTCCAAGTCCCCGACTAACAACAACAGAAGTTGTAGAAGATGAAGAAAAATACGACTACATGGAACTGAACAAGAAGCTCACTTATGACTTCGATGTTGACAATAGGCCATTCCAGGGGCCTATCCTTGCGGTTATGGCAGTAGCTTCAACCTTGGTATTGGTCCTACTACTTTGCAATTTAAAGAGGAAGGGGAAAAAGGCTGCAGCTCGGAATGACAGCTTGTTGCCAAGTAGTAGTCGTGATTCACAGCTCCCACCACCACATTCTGAGGCCACATTGCCGCCTCCACAAGATCCCATCGATGAAATCCCAGAAACAACGTTTGCTCCCTTGAAATCCAGTGGAGCACCAAGAGTTGAGCTCCTTGGGGAGATTGAGGGAGGGATGGGGTCCAGAAGCATTGGCGGTGGAGGAGGAACTCAATTGAAGCTAGTGAAGAA